GGGAATTACTCGTAAAATGATAGTAGACTATCGTATACTTTGATAATAGCTTATTATTTTCGTTAGTTTCGTCAAGTTATTAGTCCTTTGTTGATAAATATTTACAGTGAGTAAGAAAATTACTTGCAAATTAAACAACAGTTTTTATACGACAAAAGCTGAAGCTTCAAGATCAAAACAACAATTGCATGTTGATTATGGAGAAGGTTGCAATCTGCCGAAAGCTTAGGTATTTACTTAATAATTGCGTGAAAGATATTCGATGGCGAGAAAGTAACAATTCAGTTTAGTCCGTAAAATTAAGAATTGATGTCACGAACGATTGATGTATTGCTAATCAAGCGTTTTCCATTTTTACGTAAACGTAGCGATGTTCATTATTACACCTACAATAACACGAATCAATGAGGTCCATTGCATTTAGACTGTTGTCAGAAGAGATTCATCTAGATCGAATAACGTACTGAAAATAATCAAAAAATTTTCAAATTACACAGAATGCATCGTATATTCGTTGAAATATTTACTGGGGTGATAAGGGTGTATAAATAGAATCAAAAAGTTTCATTACCACATGTCCGATCTCTGCAATTATTTTGGAGTAATGTTTTACCCATAAAAAAAGCCCTTTTCAACCATTCGAATTGCAACCCCGAAGATTAAAGCGTGATTCATCATTTAGATAAAAAAAAAAATTATTTCGTTAAATAAAAATGTGGCACTATGCAATTCATTCTTTACGATTGGTTTTGTGCTCACCTTGAACAGAGCGTTGACACGATCCAATTAACAGAATTGCCGTGAAAATATATTTTGAACGAGTTATGCTGCATTTTTCCAATTGTTGTATCTTTACTACCCCTGTAAATATTTTCATCTGTATCCGAGACACCCTGTATAAATTCAGTTCAGGCCGTTAAAAAAATCGTGTAAATAAGAAATATTTAACCCTCTGTCTAATAATATTAATGGGGTTTCATGAAAATGTCCATCGAAACGCGGAAAACAAGCCAGAATTACAAATTTTAAAAATATTAATTGATATCTTCACGTAATTAACTGTATGTACACATACGTACACGCACGTCCATTCCAGGCCCGACACACACACATGACAGTGTACATCAAAGTAAACACACTTAAAAATATCTACGCTGAGAAAGCAATTGTACGTTGAGTATTTAGATTGCTCGTTTACAAAACATGGAATTAATCATAGAAACGCTGGATTCCTAAGCCCTAAGCGATCGATAAGTTTGAAATAATTGAAAACGCGCTCGTTTGTAAGGAACACAGATGATCGAGAATAATTTTGTATGATACAGAACGAATCGGAAAATAATATTCGCAATAATATTTCAACATGCTCAAAAAAAAGTACGCTTGTCCTTTCTCGTAATCGTTGTTCTTTTTTTATATTTACGCAATTCGAAGCATTATTTACAGAATTCTTAGCGACAGTTTTGTGTTAGGTGTCTAAACGATACAACAGAGACTTTAAACGAAACGTTCGTATGACGGAAATATCGATTCGACGCTGTACATAAGAAGCGATTAAAATTATTTTAGGTACTAATATTTGAATTGATGTGATCGTTTCGTAAATAATTTCTATTCGAATAGAAGAGACCCCTCCCCCCCCCCCGAAAAAAGATTTACATCAATTCAAGTATTATCTCCCTCGTTTATTATTAATTATCGTTAACTGGTATTCCTTTTTATCAATAACTAACGATATTAGCCACCTTATATAACGCAGTCTAAAAACGATCCTTTAATATACCTTTGGTAAAAAACATCGACCACGTAATACGGCAGTTACTAATGAACGTCTATTTTATTGGTGAGCGAGAACGTGAAATTAGAAGGAACAGAGGATGTTACGAATCGTGTTTCTTTTTTAATTTCGTTCAATTAAACCGTCGAAGGGATTCAATTAAATAAGATTAACACATTATATACATCGGATAGAAATCATAAATTAAAACGAGCATAAGAATGATGCTTAGGTCACTTGGAAGATGGTTTCACATTCATCTTCCGTTGATTAAAAAGAAAATATTACACGATATGTATAACTAATTCGATGTATCAAAATTTATAATAACTATTGTAAATTGCTGTTTAGAATAATCCATGTAAGAATTGTTAAAACAGATTTTCATAAGTAGATCAGACTTGAAATATGAACAATTAGAACAGACGTGAAGAGAAAGTATTTTCTATAATCGATTCATTTCGGTAAGACAATTCTTGATATATCGTTACTGATTCGTTATGTAAAGACAATGAAGTATAATCGTCGGAAAGTTTTCGGAACATATAGATGGCGTGTGTGTTTTTCAATAACTTGTTGGAAATGTTGTTCGTATTAGAATTACTCGACTCCGTTTCCCCGAGGTCAACAGGGAAACGGTGCTTCCCCGGATCCGAAATATGAAAAACATCAAGAATTATTTTATTTCTGTTCGAAAGATATCTCTCGTTTTTCTTTTTAAATATATTCGTGGATTACCCGCGTAAAATAGATATAACACTTAAACATTTAACTAGATTAACAACGCTTTGTCCGCGGCGCGGGTCGATTCGCGGTGCTCGAAAAATATCTAAGTACAAGCATTTAGAAGACTGTACATCTTAAATCAACATTTTACACGGACACTCGAATCTATTGAATATCGTCCCTAATCACGACATACATATTCCCCTTTAGTCAAACTGACAGAAACAATTTTCATCGTCGTAAAATTATTATAAATCCTTCGAATACGGTGTCCTATACAAATATTAATATAATGTATACATATGTGTACAGAGAGTGCTCCATAAGACACAGTGTATTCAGAGAACATTTAAATCTGCTTATTAAACATTTATGTTTCTTTCAACGACACGGTGTCGAACATAAATTTCAACGCAACACCTTCACACGCGCATTTTTACATGTTTACAAAATAACAAATTAATTTAATAAAAATAGGTTCTTCGAACATCGCGTACAATCTAAAAATAAATTAACCTTTAAATTATAAATTATCGAAACAATAATATCGTTTCATTTCGCACCTGACACAAGAGATTCCTGAATATCACACATGTCCCACTGAAACACTCTACACTACACACCGAATTTTCGTAAGCGTTACATCGTTAGTAAGAGAAACTTCGACACTCTTAAATCCGTGATTTGCGAAACGATAATAATGATTCAGATGAATAATTTAAATTTACCGCGCCATGGCGCGCGATGCGTAACGTCGAACGACGTTCAAATGATCGTCACGGCGGTACACGTCTCTTCAAAACGCTTCTTTCTTTTCTTTTTTTTACAATAATTTCGCTGAACAGAAGAAACGAATCTGTATTTAGTGGTGTTTATACATTATGCAGACTCAGTATCGGATTCAATACAGACATCTCTATTGCTGCGATTAAGCTACTATAATGTATGTAATGCGTGTATCTCCTTTCGCATATACGTAGCCATCGTTCGGCCGGAAGAACCAACGCCTTGCAACCGTGTGGCCGATCTCGCGGCTTTTTTTTCTTTATATACCATTCTAATTACTATATGTATAATTAGAAATGTCCCTTTTTGCCTTTGTACACCGCGGATGGGGAAAAATAACGCGTGGTCTCGCTTTGTACTTTAATAAGTAGTAGACAATAGAATCATTGGTGTTTCGTTTTAGAGAACTCTAGAAATAACCGTCCGACTGCTCGAGCGTCCTCTGGCGACGCGGACGCTTCGATGCACCGGACGCGTGCTGGTCCAGAGCATCGGTCGCAATTATCAACCCCTTGACGCTCGTTTTTCCTTCTGGAAAATTCCCGCGGAATTCCCCTCCGAAACATTTCAAATCATCGTTTCCTAGCAACCGTTGTTCAACGTCTTAAATTAGGCTACGGCGGTCTCAAGGAAACAGAGAACTGCTTTGACAACCATTAACCGGGGGAAGACTAGTCGATTCAATATTTGTGTTTCAAATTGTATTTTCTGACAGTTTCCTCATCGTTTTAATTATTCGACCGAAGACTCCGTGGAATCTAATTCTATTATAATATTTAGTAATAGTATAGACTGGATTATATTTTAATTCTGTGTACGCGCATTTATCGTCGAGAAACCACCCGGTTAACGGATTCGAATAAATCGAATTCGAGCATTTCGAGCAACAACTACGCGATAATTAGATTGTGGTGTTCAGAGTTGTCTTGAAATTATTGGAATATTTCGCTTTAAAAATACGCTTAACCTTCGATCTACGAGTGACGCGCATCAAGCGCAAGGGGTTGAACCTATACACTATGTAGTATTCGAGAAGGTGAGTTCCGACCCTCTCGAAATTCTATTCCAAGAGGAAACGCGATGTCCTCGATAATCGCGGTTTCGCGGAACGCGTATAATATATTTTATTGTTTTTATTCCTTAATAGAATTCAGTTATATTCAAATAATAAATAAGAAACTAAATTGAACAAAAGAAAATAAGAAATCCTTTCTCGTGTAATGCATTCATCGTGGGATTCTGCACTCATCTAAGAATTCTACTCGGAACGAATTGCATTCGCCTTGGAATATCTGACAACGTGAAACTATCGTGACCATTTGCACGAACACACATTCCTCCCGATATAATATATACCTCTATGCTCGTAGAAAACTTCTCTATTTATTTATGTAAACATCTTGAACACTCATTGTCATTTCGATGGAACTTACTTGCCGTCGTTTCTAGTGAGTTTCCATTAAATACGCTTTTTTTTCTTCTCGATTTAACGAGTGTTTCTTTCTGTCATACCTATGACATAACAACTATGCTCTCTCTCACACACACACATGCACACATACACACATTCTCTCTGTGTTTTCCTGCCACAATCAAATCTAAGAAGTGGAACTTAGAACCTGTCGTAAAATACCGTTTTCATCTACTATACATTAAAAAGAAAAATAAACGCATTTAACCCTTTATAGCTGTACATGGAATTAGACCTCTCTGATAAACTATGTATATAATAATTTTATTCTAACAACATGGGGCTATATTAAATCTGCTCAGAAATAGAAACAGATTCGTCTATAATATAAAAATATTTAGCTGTAAAGGGTTAGAAACATTTGGATAAACATCTCGTTCCTACCGTGACGCTACGAACTATGTTAAATGTTAAAATTATTTTATAGTTCCGTGTTCAAGAATCGTTTATTCGTATTGAGTAACGTCGCGACAAGAGCTGACGGTTTGGCTCCATACTCTGTGGTTCGTTCTGTTACATATACAAATGTATAATTAATTGTCGGGTTGGATGCGTAATCCAAAAATAATACAGAGACATACGGCTGATTGATACATACGGCTAACGAACAAAACAAGAGCCTACCGAGGGGGTAAGTGTGTGTTGAATTCCATTCCAGTGGGTTCTGTTAATGTGAGGTGGACGGCATTGGATTAAACTGATTCGACATGCTGCAGCAATAACACGGTGCCAAAATGTTTGCGTTCCTTGATTGGAAATACATAGAAATTAGTTCAGCACGAAATACAATGGCAATTTAGATTTATATACATTTTGACGCCGATGACACCCTTTCAGAGCCATTGGCAAGTCAAATTTCTTAATTAATATCACGTAACAAAACACTAACACTTTCAACGTTTTCTCTGAACATCAATACAGTATACTACTATTCATAATTATTATATTTGAATATAAAGTAATACGTAAAAATTATCTTTCATATTCAATTTCATACGAAAACGGTAAATATGTTGTAGATTTAAAAATATTCGACGTTTTAAATAAACAATCATACGACAAAATCTCGATAAGCATACCTTAGTTGTCGTTGTAATTTCCGACCAACTAGCCCTTTTCGCCCATGTTTACTGCACTGTTTTTCAGGTTCACACACTAATTGCTAAGGTTGTGAACTGCTACTACTACTGGTATTCTCTCCTTGGCTCATAGAATCCAGCGAAATATCCCCTTTGCTGTCAGTGCTACGACTAAAATTACTATAAATAATTAATATCATGTATTTATGATTAATATCATTAATATCATGTGCAGTCTTCCAACTCGTACGTAATTCGAGTGAAATGATGTACATGTTTAGTAATTTGATACACAAAAGTATTAGAAGTATTACTGTTCAGCTATGGTAGAGGAGAATATGTCAAAAAATGTAATGCGACTTACTCTCTGTGAATAACAGTTGCAGTACTTCGAAAAGATTCGTCCGTTCTTTCTGGAACAGTACGTGCACTGGTTCGATCATTCCAATATGTAGAACTTTTGCTTTTTGATGTGACTTCAGAGGCTTGGGTATCTGCTCGTTTATTTTTTTCAGGCGGAACTTCGTTACTGCTCGATCCTTCAGTTTCATCGATAGGTAGACACGTCTCTACCATTGCTTCCAAGCAATTAACGAATAACTTAGCGCTCTTAGCTGTGCAATTAGACTGAAAAACATATGTTATTTAAGATTAAGAACAATATAAAAAAGATCGAAATTTTATATCTCAATATATCTTACAATAATATTTACTTACATTTGTATATGGACCTGCAAATCTCCACAATCCGCCAAATCCACAGCTTTGTAAATAATGTAACTGCTGCTGACTTGTATCTTCGCAAGCAATCATGTTCTGTATAATTGCTCGTACAGAGTTTAGTATGCCTTGATCATGACTGGTGGATAACACACTGTTGATTTTTGCATCGAGCAGATTATGACTATAAAAAATGCATGACTATCAAAATAATATAAACAATTGTTTATATTCTTTCAATTATATTAATGGGTCTAGTTGCTGGCTAGATGTGCAAATACATTAGTGTTTAATACACGTTGTAAACAAAACTTTTGAAATATAAAAACTTACATCACTGGAAATACCTTTGGGAACACTACAGACGCTTCTGCAAGATATTCATAAAGTATCCGTTGCTCGTTTTCATCGGTCGAATTCTTTACTAAGGTTACCAAAACAGTTAAAACTAAAGTTTGAGTTGAGAAGTCTGTCAGTACTTCTGGATCGAGCAGCACATTGTTTTCATTACTGACACTTACTCTGGCACTTCGATTCTGTATAAATTAAAAAACCTTTAGTATGCAATAAATCATGCGTAGAATAATTACCACTCAAATTAAAGAAAGCAGTAAATATCGATATTTTAAATATATAACAATAAAATATTTGTTTTCTAAACAAAAAAACAAAGATTTTAAATGTTTATAAGAATATAAGAGTATACATAAAATACCTTCGATTCCGCTTCTTCGGTGGATTTTGTTTCCTTAGCAGACGGTACAGAAAAGGATCGCTGCGTTTTGAATAAAATCCGTCCAGTCTTGTTAATGATGCACACATTGTCATTTTCGGACAGATTGATGGAGTATGACACATACATGTGACAAGTTGCATTGTGTTTTACATGATCCAGGCACAGACAAGGTAGAGCATAGAGACCGAAAGAGTGAACAGAGGCACATACAAAAACACAATACAACAAACAATATCAATCAATGTAAAAATGAATTTTGCTTTCTAAAATATCTATTTCATTGGAAGTTAATAATTCAGTGTACAATATGAAAGAGTATCTCAATAAAGTGCAAATACAGAAAATCTGATTGATGTAATCATATCTGAATGACAAAAATAAAACGGAAATAGCTGTTAACATTTTACGAGTTATAACTTATCACATAAATGTTTATTAAAAATAATAGAATAGCATGGGCATAGCCAGGGAGGAGGGGGCACTTGCTTCCACCCCTTGGACGGAAAAAAGTGCTTTTCCCCCATCATACAAGAAAAAAATTGGATTTTGCCCCCCCCCCCTAAAGTTACAAAATTTTTGCGCAATATTTAATATTGCAGTATAATTTGAAACACGACCAACAGCTTCTATTAAAAAATCGCATACATTTTCATATCTTCAACGATTTATGACTTTAAAAATCAAATAAAGTACGTCTGGCTACATACAGCCTTCTTCACTGTGGCAGTCGATGTGTTAATATTTTTGCACCCCCCACCCCACACGACTGATAACCTGGCTCCGCCCATGTAGAATAGAACTTTTTTTATTGTGAAATTCAATATACTGATATTCAAGCAACATAATATGTACCTGATGCGTTGAATACTGTTTTTGTTGCCTAGCCTGAGTGAGTGCAGACTGATCCAGTAAATCCCATGATTTTTGACGACGATTTGTCGGATTGCTAGAGGTTGCACACGATGCATCCTACACAACAACGAACAATTTATAAAAACCACCTATATGACGTTTAGATGTTAAATACTAAAAGTACAATACTCATCCAGAATTTCAAACTATGGCTTTATTAACATTTACCTTTAAATATTTTTAAATTTGTCTCAAATTTGTCAAATGTATTATACTAAGTATTCAGTTGAATGTATTTCACTGGAAAAAATGATAAAACCTACTCACTGTATTATGAGAAAGCAAATTATCAAGACAGTCTGTACTATCGGATTCTGCATTTTTTCCAACCGAGTGTCTAATGTGACATCGACTTCTTACTTCTTCAGATACGGACACTAATGCTGATTGCATACAATTACATCAATTATTACTTTCAATATAGAAGCAACGAGATTTAACAGAAAATAGAGAAGTACATAAATCCTTACCAGCCAAATAAGCTACGCTTTCAGGTGTTACTTCAAATTTGTCCCTTCTGAATGGTTTGGCTACAATACCCAATAACATAGTTAGTACTCTGGCTGTTCTTGTTACAGTAGTTGGTGTAGGATGTCTATATCCTTTCAGAAGATGTCCAACTAACGCGAAATGGAAATTAGATTTAAATGACAGTCCTACAGCTTGATCCAGCTGTTTGAAATGCCATTCTAAAGGTTCACGAGTAGACATCATAACGTGTTCCAGTCTCTAAATAAAAAAGTAGTACAAGAATTAAAAAGTTTTAATAGTAACGAAGTACACTGAATACAATTAGAGCGTAAAGAAATATATAAATATTCACCTTGTCATCGAAATTTCCTTGAGATTCTAAAGTATGTAAATTTTGTTCAAGAAGTGCTAAACCACATGCGTACAAAGATGCTTCATCCAACTGAAGAACTGACGTTGCGACCCAAAATAAATACCGATGTATTGGAGATTCCTATCAAAAGTATTAAAATTATTAATTAAAATTCCGTTTAGCAGTTCCGTATGACTAATGTAATGAAAGTGTAACAAAATCAACTCACCGGTCTAAGTAACGGTTGTAACCGAGTGAGGCACATGATGATTGCTTCAAGCAATGTAATATCATTAAAACTTTCTAACGCCTTCACGAGTATCCTTAGTAACTGTTTCATATCTTGATCGATTATACTTTTACTGATGCATCCGAATACAATCAGAGCTCTTGGCTGAAGGGCTGGATTAAAACAGAACGCGAAATTTCTAGCCAAAGAGGTCCAAGTTTTCAACCAATCGCACTGTGGAATGTCTCGCATACAAGCCTCCATAATTTCAAGGAGAGCATCCGTAATAATTTCTAAACTGGTCAACGAGAGTCTCTCTTTATCGTGCGTACCCGCAACACTACGCTCGTTGCTTATCCATTTCTCGTTCGAATGTCGGTAACTAGATCTGAATGCTGTACCCGCAGCAGACTTCACTTTACTAATACCGAACAGTAAATAAAACTTTGGCAGCGAAAACTCATCCAAGCTCATGCGTAGTATCCTGTAAGTGTCCTCTGAAAACGAGGGTGAGCTACAGGTGCAAAGCGAGTGAATGCTATTGATAACCAGACCATGAGTGGAAGCTCGCATACTCAAACTTCCAGAGCAGACGAGAAACGTTACTGTGTGAAACAAATAGGGCAGATGTTTTCCTACATCCAGACAGTTGTTGAAAGACAACATTAATAAATATCTTGCTAGAATAGCGATATCATCCCATCTCGTGTGTTGCTCTAACAACGGAGTCGGAGATGTACAGGTTTTATCTACAACTCGACAGAGTCTCCCTATTACTTTCGTCGCCACTAACTGAACATTTCCAGAGGCCAGAGCAACAGCTGTATCAGCCATTATTTCTACCGTTGGGGAACCAAGTCCGAAACTAACACTACGCTGAATGAAATTATCCAGAACTGTGTCTATTAAGTCGGGCAATCTTCCAATTGTGCTCCATATTTTGGCTTGTATACTTGGATACATTTCCACTTCCTCGATGGTTAACGTAATTAATTTCTCTAAAATCTTCGTAACTTGTCTCTGACGCTTTCCCCCTCCATCGTTCGGCTTATAAAATCGCACAAGGTTATTCAACCATGGCGTCATATATTCTAAACACAGATGTTTCAATTCAATGCTCGACAACCGGAATCCTTGTATACATTCTTCCAGAAATTCCAGCGTGAGGTGTGGATCCTTGGCAGCTAATGTTTCGCTTAAGTGTTTGATGAATATCGTATTATTCGACGGTATACAAAGTCCAGATGTTTCCAATAATTGTCCTTCTATTTTTAAGTCAAACGTCGCGGTTAGAGCGCATAACTGATTGTATGCTGCTGTTCTTAAATTCGGGTCCGAGCTGCCGAGATTTAATAAAGCCATGTTCAATAACGTTCCAGGTACATGTTTAGGTCGTATCTTCGGGTGAACAGACACAGACTCCGGCTGTGACAGTACCCATCGGTTTCTTATATGAATTATAGCCTGAACGATACTATCACGGTCGTTGTGAATAAAGGACAATGGACAGGTGTCATTTGAAATGGTTAATGTGAATTGATTGTCGTCTAGTAAACAAACTTTTTCAATTTCAGACGCATAATAAACATCATTCAAGAGAACGGAATGCGACAGTACTTTGCATCGTTCCGCCGAAGTAATTTGTATAGCAGTTGGTCCAACTTTTACGGATACCTTGGTTTCCTTATGGGAAAGTTTCAAAGCGCTGCTGAAAACCTTCAAATCTTCGTCGAGAGAGAGTGTGGTGCCAGGAAGTTTTTGTTGGTCAATGTCGATCACATCATTCAAACGACCCGGTCCATCGAGAAAGATGACTTTTTTGTTGTTCTTCAATGGTGCCAAGATCCTGTCGTGATGCTTTATGTATTCCCTTACCCAACTGTTGCAATTGTAAATATATGCGGCGTGAATCTTTTCGTACGTGACCTCGGGCAACACGCACAGCCATTTTTGTAGGAATTCTGTTCTGAACCGATTGTCCGAACATGTGTGGGTAAAGTCGACAACCAATTCGAACGGAGCGTGACAAAATGGTTTTAGGGTGAGAATAACGTGATATATCAGCAAATCGCCGTCCGTGTCGCCAATTCTACAGAGGTGAAGAATTAAAATTAAAAACTTAAGCCTAGTGTTAAGAAATGTTAAAAGTTGAAATACGCACTTATAACGTCTTGCAATATAATAAAACACAGGATATCCTTGTTTGCTAGTCCCAGCTTGGTAAAAGATATTTAAATTCTTGATGCTCTTAAATTCTTCTTTCTCATGCATATTGTGCTTCACCATAATTTCCTCGAAATTAGTCGAAGACATATCGATGCTTGACCACCGAGCGTAAGACGAGGAAAACAATAAACTGTTTAAACGGAATCAATGTGTTTTACACATTCGTGTATACTCAACGATAATTTGTAATAATTTCAAGTGCCTTTTAACGTGATCACTTACTGCGAATCTATTGGTTTGTGTTCAGGAGGGCCGAGGTACGCCAGCAACGTAGCCATTTTATCGAAAGGTCTTCTGCCCACCGCTTTATCGTCGCGACTGCTGCTAAGATAGTCGCCGATTCTTTCTTGATGATTCCAAAGCAATCTGTGCAACGCTAAAACATTCGCGTCCGATACAAACGACATCGGATGACTAGCTTGATCTACCGTTTCACAATCCGACGCTATCTGTATGAAAAATCTTCTATTGAAGTATTTTAGACATTAGCATGAGACCTCTTTTAACTTGAGGAGGTACAGGTTGATTCACGATACCCATCTCTTGAGGCGACACGATTGCTGGATTTATGAAACGCAAAAATATTACAGTTCCGACAGCTCCAATATTATTTTGGGGGCATTGCGGGAATCTCTTGCTCAGTACTTGATACAGACAATGGCACATCGACCGCAACTGTGGTGGAAACCTACGAATATTATTACCGATATTATACTGATTTGATAACTACTATTGTTTGATTAACATATTTTACTGTGTATAAAAAATGACGAATATAATTTTGTTTTAACAACATACCGATCAGCTGAAGATACTATAGCATCGAACACTTTCTGCGTTAATGCTATAAGATTCCGTCCATTTTGTTCTATATCTTCGTTAGTGTCTATTCTGGCACTATCAACTTCAAAGCCAGTTGTCGGATCATCTAATAATGGTGTGATTAAAGGCTCTAATAAATTTTGCAAGTAACTCGCGCCATAAATTTTAAAACAGAACGCCATAATTTTGCTCCCAAGACTGTTTCCTCGAAATAACGTTTGCATACAATCGGAAACTTCGACCTCGCGATAAAACATATTCCATAAAAGTGGCGATAGTAAGTGTTTCGCGTCGAACAGTGTCACAAAGACTCGAGCCAGTTCATCCATTTGATTCGTTGTTACAACATTAGCTAAAGCCATTGCAATTGGCAATTCTCCTTTGTCACTAATCATCGTAACAAGTTGAACCAACTGTTCGAATCTATCGGCTAATACTGTTTCTGCTAACGTATCGAATTCTGTTCCTTGCTGCAGAATTTTAGTGAGAACCTCCATAAATGCTGCTCTTGTTTGCAAGTCAGGATTATAGCCCAAACCTATAATTATTTAAATGTAAAAACGAAGGACGAAAAATCGAAGGATTTAAAAGTTTAAGTAACGAATGAATTCTTTAAATTACATACGTGAAATCACAATTTCACTTACTTAACGAATGCATCAGACCACTATCAATGTTTGCGCTAAGGAGGTTGCTCATTGCCTGTATGGTAGCGTTCCGTAAAGTAGACAATTTGCCGCTGGTTAAACGTGGTTGCTGAGATACAAGCTCCTTTTCTTCCGCAGCAGCCTCATTGCAGTCGTTTAACAAGTTCATGAACAGAGTAAAATACTTTAAAAATAATTGAGATTTTGCTTCCATTAAATCACCACGATCAGATTCTTCCGGTTGTAGAGGAAGACCACGTAGTAACGCTCCAACCGCTTCCATACACGCTTGATCTAAATCCCTGGAAAGTAAAAAAGAAAAACATATAAGAACTATCGAAACACATTGTACAACTGGATAAAAACTATGATCTATAATATCTAACAATTCAAACCTAATTTAGAAAAATCATTTACCGTGTATAAACAGTTAAGTCACCACTAGTTGACGGAGTAATCTGATGAGTAGCTCCCATTACCCAATCAGTTAAATATTCCACAAGTTTATTTCTAAATTTCATTTCTTGCCGAAATGCTAAATCATCTCGTCTTTTCATCATCGCTTCGACAAGTTGGCATAACTTTGTCTTAATATGTACAGAATGTATAGTAGTCATGTCCAAATGTCTCACGTATCTGACGATTGCCAACATCATTCCCTCTATACTGGTCATACCGAGATATTCAGACGGCTGTTCTGTCTTCGAATCCAATATATTTTTCATGATAAATATTATGTGTTCAATAAACTGAGTATTAACATCCATTACCACAACTTGTCCTTCCTGATTAAAGAATTTCTCGACGATGCTTTTAATCTGATCAAAAAGTATTGGATAGAGCGCAGGACTCATTTCATGGCCAACCAATTCTTTAACGTGTTTCTGAATTTGATTTCCGAACTTTTCATTGTTACATATTAGCAAACGCAATAAATGGAAAACAAACTGCGTACAATATTGTACTTCTTGGCTTGGATTTGATAAACAATGCTCCTGTTTTGTAGAATTTTTCTTTGATTCGGGATTAGGAGGCATGCCTAATAATGGTCTGTTCGTAGAGCGTTTTTGTAAACATACTCCTCCTAAAGCACAGAGAAATCCCGTCATGTTCGCCCACTCATTGATTTGTTCCTCTAACTCGTGTTCTGAATTTTGATGCGATGCTCTACGCTTTCCTGTGCTTCGATGAAACTCCATTTGACCGTCTTCTATTTTAGACTTCGGATAATTCACCAACTGCCGAGATGTTACTTCCCAATTTCTAAACGTTTCTTCCCAAGCCTAAATGTACAGAAACGTATTTTAAATATACGGTTTTTCTTTACTGATAAATATTACATAATTAAGATAATAATAAAAACATAAAATATATATTATTAGGTATACACACCGGTTGTACGCCATTTACACAGTGCTTTATCTTCCTCAGTAAGGCCATAATTCTTTTTTGTAAAGCAGCACGCTCTAAAAAATTATTCAGTTTATTATTTTTCATTGTTTATAAAAATAATGTAATAAATCTAATAAAACGAATGCAGTGATAATTCTACAATATATGCATTTTTTTAGCGACACTTACCATGATTATAATCGTGATAACATATCTTACTTTCCCCGCTGGCTGTTATGGTAACAAAGTCTTTAATACTCTACCACAGCCGCATAAGGATTATACTAATCAAAATACGAAGTGAATTCAAAAATTCATAAATGAATGTTTGAATTCAAGTGCAAATATTTACACTAGAAACCCGGTCCGAAATTCATTTAGAAAAGAAATATCGAATCTTCGTCTGTTCATATTATATTTCAAAACATTCATAAATGTATAATCTTTGAAATATAGTTTATAAATGTAGTCAAAAATTGTAAGAGTTTAGAAAATGTTATCAGGTAAAATTAATATTTAATCCCTATCAATTTAATTTGCGTTTTTCGAGCGGAATTCCTATTTTTTACTTTAAAAAGTAAAATTAAATAAAAAATCGATATATTAAGAATATAAACTTACCAGTAATTAACACAGTAGAAGCTTGTGCCAATTCAAGATATAAATGATAGTTATGGAGTAAACAAGTTACGGCTACATCATCACTGCCGCAACGTATTTCGGCTTCTTCACATAGCAATGCGAAACAAGACATCGATACCAAAACTGCTTCCATATTTATACTCCACAAGTACATGAAAAATACAACCTGAAAATTCGGATGTAATAAATATACTGCGATGGAAAATAAATTTAAATGTATTCAAATCAAAACAAACCTCCATCTTAATATGTGCCTGCTTACAAATAGCAATCTGGCTACCCACATTTGCGTAATCCTTATGTTGTGCTAGAAAAGCGTTTCTACAGATCAATATTTCTCTAAGCCATTTCAGTATACAGGTATAATTAACAATTTGATGCTGTATCAATTTTTGAGAAATCGAGAAGAGAACTTGTGAACTAACATCCCAAAATGTATTGATTGGAGCTTCTGGATTCCATGCTTTTATTTTATCTGGATGATGTAATACTAATAATGCTTCCATTGCTTCATATGCTATATCTGGCATTGTTGGTTGATGAACTAAGGAAACTAAACCATTAATCAATTCTAATGTAGAGCTCTGTATTTCATGACCAGCTTTTCCTTGATTCTGAAAGAAGAATAAAATGTATATCATACTTCATTTCATGAGTTGCGCCTGAAACGTTTATATACAACACACTTACATGCAGCAATAGCATAGGGTCAGCATGAATCAGTTTCACCATCCATAAGAGTAAATTTCTATAACTGGATATTTCTTCTCCGCGATCCCTATACTTGCTCTGTTCTTTTCCTTTGAGCGTTAAACTTTGAATCATTCGCAATGGTGTGTGTGATATGTAGTTCTGTGTGACTTTATTTAAAACATCGGTGAACATATTCCTAAGTTCTGTACTACGCGAATACAGAAGATCTATTTGAGGCCACCACGACAGTCTTGGTTGAGTTATAATTCTGAAACGAGTGATACATTAAAGTAGCAAATAGAAATTTCATTATATTACAATAAGTTTTTTTTCTTACTTGTATAATGAGCTAACTAAGACAAATTGGTATGTCGATGGAAAATTCAGGTTCAAGCAGACTTTAAGTACTTCGTTGTTGTGAGGTTTAATGCGAAAACAGCTAACAAAACAGTCTATCATTAGGTCGATGTCTTGGGCAACGTAGCTTTGACCACGAGAGAAAAGCTTTCCTGGATTAAAAAGTAGCGCCATCAAATCATTCATTATGTGTTTAACAAGTGTAAAGATGACGTTGTTTGAATCATGGGTATTTATGTACGTTGATGCTTTACAAAGTTTAATACAGGTCACTGCTGCAGCTTCTACTAGCTGTCTGCTAGAGCTGCCATGCATTCCTAGGCCTCGTTTCACACTATCAATGAATTGCTTTTTCTTTGAATGTTTTGGTGAACATGGAACACAAGAATCAGCATTAACTATTTCCTCCAAAACTTTTGGTGAAAGTATCAGAAGCATAATTTGTAAAGGCCAAACAGCTGCAGCTCTTCCTTTTTTATTGTCTACGAATGTATCAAGAATGTCAAATAATTCTTCGCATGCTTTTCCAAGATTCTCATTAGGCTTTTTTTGAAGATCAGCAAATTCATGTGGATAAGTGTCCATCCAATTCCAAATTGCTTTCTCCAAAGAATTCATAAGAACTATGTGCGCTGATTTCTTGAGCTGCTTAAACTTTTGTATAGTCTCTACAATAATAACAAATATAATATGAACAAATTGGTTTTATGTACTATTCTTGTTGAAACCCATAACTATAGGACTTAAAACATAAAATATCCACACTAAATATTCCATAAAAATTACAGACTTACCATTCAAAAGTTTTGTTAGTCTAGAAACATCCACATTAATATGCTGAATTAATTCGATATCACTATAGTCAGCATTTTCATCACCACATTTTGCTAGTTCCTGAAGTCTGTATGATATTCTGTTAAACACAGCAATGAAAAAGTTTAAGCTCAAGGCAAACAATACTTTGCTTGCCAAATTTTTTAAATGAGTATTTTGGGGACTATCATTTGGTACATCTGCAAATAGTATTAAATTACTTACATTTTTAATATTATAATAGTAAAGGACTACATTATTTATATTTCAAGTACCAATACCTATAAATTGGCATATTTCTCTAAGCAGAAACTTTACATTCATAGCCTCGTCAAATTTAGCTGTGTCTTTTGGTTGATTTGCAAGACACTTTTCCAAAGTGTCCAGAACAATGATGATGGATTCATAGCAATGCCGATCTTGGTCTGTACTATGAAATATACGTTGACCCCCAACACAGGGTACCATTTCAGTAACATTTTGGAGTATCTTAGTGAGACTGGATATTACAAGAGAGAAACGGTTGCGAGAAATTTCTATCAAGCACTTTTTGTTTCTTTCTTCGTTCAAACGGGTGTCTGTAGTTTGAGGGCCACTGTGACACGGCAACTAAGTATAAGAGAAAATTATTAAATCAACGTTGATTACGAATTTTTAAATACATATGCAAATATGGTGTATAATATATACTGTATGTAATTAAACTTGATTATATCATTAATTAAATCAATATTTGAAATATTTCCTGCAATAGCTTGATTTAATTATATGGGATACTTTACATAGAAGTATTAACATTTATTTTTACACCCTTTTTTTATTTTAATAACATTTGTATAAATTAATATATGTTAATTTTTTATAGTTTACAAAAACTACATATATTCTTCAAATATACAAGCATAAAAAAAGATACAGAATAAGAAAGTAGATATATAAAGAAAGAAGTTTGGTAATAAAATGTATCAAACATAAATATTAAACAAACAATTGTTTTTTTAAAAACATGTTTTTATTTTCAAATTTTCGAGTATTTACATTTACACCGTTTTAATTTATACCTTTATCGATATAAAAGAAATAGGTATGAACTTTGTATTTAGAAAAGTTACATTTCATTTTCAATTGTTGTGTACTAAAGTTAACAATTTCTTAAAAAATTAATAGTATTTACAATAAAACTTTAGCAACTCTAGTCGTGTCCAATATTTATGGAATACATCTATGCACGTTGTATTTGTATGTATGTATGTATATTAACCGATCGAAGGGAGGCATCGTCGCAATGGCATATATTATATTATTATATTATATGTCTATGACACAAAATTCGAAAGTGACGTGTGTGTTCATGCAATTGTATGTGACAGCATTTAAACACACTAAAGTGTATCATAGATTCGAATTCCTCGATAAGTTGTGCATGAAACGAATGCAATCTTCATTCACCTATTTATGAAACGGCAGAAACAGCGTGTGTGAATATAGAAAGGTTACGGAAAAAGGAATAAAACGAGAGGGTATTCCAATAATTCATTCTTTAATTTCTTATTGGAAAACTTCTCATTGTTGTGTAATGAAAAGTTCGTAAAAATTTTACATTAGTAAAAATATTTAAATTATTCAATTTGTACTGTTACTGTAAAAAGTTCAACAATTAGTATAGAATATAGCTTCGTTAAAAATTGATTAAGTTGGAATTAACTATACACAATGGCATTGAGTAAATTTAATTATTACGAATTACGAAAGAATTTAATTGTAAATTCCGAGGCTTGTATTTTCATTCTAATCGATTCATTTCAGAATTCCTAAATATTCTATAAGTACAAAATGTTTTGTTTTGTTGCATGTTACGTTAATAGTACAGTCATATACATTATTTAATATAAAGATAAATTTCGCAAAAAATTGTTTAAATAATACTTGGATTTTTGGAACACCTTGTATACACCTTAACTGAATAGCTGGCAGGGTGGAGAGGAAGGGCAGAAGGGGCGAAGGTCAAACCGTGGTCTGCAAGCCGTGTAGAGGGAGGAGACGGCGAGAAAGCATCTTCCCATGAATGAACGAATCAATCAACGAACAAACGAATGACGGTACATACATTCATGAAGCTAGCGATACCACCTATTAATGACTGCACTAGCAAACAGGAAGATAATACATTGTCAACGTTTTAATAGCATTCTGACATGAAATTCATGACAAAAAGAAAAAACGACCGCGACTCAATTATTATGTTCCTGAATTCTACACGTATTGTTACCAATAATTCAAACTCATAACAATGCTTTCACTGTTTCCTATGCATATTTTTCTTCATTGACGGGTGTTGGAAAACAAATACAACCTCAACAAAAACATAAAAGCATTCAATAAAAATACTGGAACTAATGTAACATAAGAGTTTCAGTGCTAAATTCTGTCAAACAACTGTTGTCACGGTTTGATCAAAGTATTCGATCTCTGCAAAATGAACCCCGGTGTATATCATGCAAAACACACACGATTAAATTAAAGCCGGAAATTGTCACATAACTGAACATTAAAAAAAAGTTGAGTGTTGTCAGTCACAAATTCAACCTGTACACAAGTATCCTGTCACGTTTTCTTTAAACTACTCACTGTTCACCAATGTTCACTTATTAATATGACTATGTTCAACACTTGTCCCATACGCCCTGTGCACGAGCAATGTCAGTTGCATGAAACTGGATTTTTACAAAAATTTATCTAATCGGTCAAAATGACCGTTGTCGCCGGCCTTTCCGAGTAGTGTAGGGAGAGTAGTCCTAGTCTCTGAAGTACCATTTTTTTCAATGCAATACGCAATAAACGCGAACGAAAGCGAAATGGAGAAACGTAGTAAAAGGGGAAGCATGGTGGGAAGGATAAGTAGATGAAACAATGTGGAAAGAGAGAAAAGAAAATGAATCAAGAGAGCGTAGAGTGATAGAGGAAGAGAAATAGAGGAAGAGAGCGAGAAAGAGCGAGAGAAAGCACCGGAAGAGGGTAGGAAAGAAAGAGAGGGGACGGCCACGAAGAGGGAAGGCGGATAGAACGGGAAAAGAAAGCTAAACAGATTTGTAGATCGAGTCACAGTTGAGGTGTACCTGTTCCTCGAAACATGTGATCAGCAAATTCGCCCATTCTTCCGGCTTTTGCGTGCCCATCGCCGTCCGAGGTTCAGTGACGAGCCGTCATCACGTACGACGATTCACCAATTCGCTACGAGCATTCGACATCGGTACGTCGCCATTTACGAACGTCGACTGCCAGCCGAGAGAGCGCCGCAACGGCTCGCTCTTTCTCTCCCGTTGGGGAGGGGCGCCGTGACAGAGCCCTCAAGAATTACAGCGGGGTCTGGGACGAAGATCCTCGCAGATGGAACCGATACTGACCGAAGCTACCCGATATTCACCTTTGACTAACCAATCACGTCACGGTGTTTAGGGATGCGTGAAAAAATTCAAATGTCGTCGTGAGCTGTAAAAGGAATGGACTGTTTTCGTTGTTAAATGCAATCAAGAAAATTTCATGAAGAAAAAGTGCCAACTACTTGTCAAACATTTTGCAGTTTAAATGCAAGGTAAAAGGCAATTGTGTATGATAATTAATCGACAGATAGTGATACAAATTCCTATTTTCAAGAGTTCGTTTTACAAAAACCACAACCTATGAAAAATTTCTCCTCACATTTTTAGCGTATTATTTAAATTATGTTCTTTTGTTAAAGTAATTAATTACACATGAATTTAATCCTATTTACGAAACACTCCAATGCAGAGAATTCTAATTGTAAATATGTGGATAATTGAATCATTTTTTTCTCTACATACCTGTTATTGAATGCATAAGGATGTTTATTTACATATTACTGTTTTAAAGAAGTAATAGAAAAGCATAATATGTAGTAAATCACAGAATTTATTGCATATTAAAATACAGAGGTTGATCATATTAAATAAACTAACTTCTGTATACAGTAAAGTGTATAATTAATAATATCAGTTTTTTTAAAACTACCTTTACGCTATTTCTATACAATAATATTATTACATAAAACATTACTGTTTCTTAAACATTCCTTCATCAATATACAAATATATTTAATAGTTTGATGCATCAATACATACTTGTTTAGCTGAAATAATATAAAAGTATGCTTTGTTTAAGTTAGTGCTGGTTATCATATCAAATGTAGATTCATAAGTCAGGTACAGATCTCATTTAGATGTACATATTTTCTAAATTCTTTTAGCTTTGTTACAAATATAGAACATTACGAGAATATTAAAAAAGACCAACTAATTTCACTTTCTAAATACATTTTGGAATCAGTGTTTTTAAAAATGATTTAAAAGTATTAAAAAACAAACTCATAAGTATTAATATTCTAGTATGTACACATTAAAATTAACAACAGTCATTTCTCTAATTAAAAGACACTTAATGTATAACTGCTTTTGTCCTTTCATATAGAAAACATAGAATTTTAACAATTAACCCTAACCCTGTGTTTGTATATCTTTTCGTATAATTATACAAATAGTTTTGACAAGTACCATAAGAAAAATGAATTTTCCTTTGCTACATTTTATACATAATAGTTCAAATTATTAAAAGCAATTGTTTCTCAGTTTTTCATTGATTTATTATGGGGACAAGAATGTATAAACGAAGTTTTTAAATAAAAATCGTATCTTGAATTGCAGTTTTCTTTATTTCCATTAAAGCAATTTTAAATGGAAACATTTATACAATTGTACTACAATATTTTGATCAGTTCTAGCAGGTTGTATAGTAAATTTATGGCAATATTTAAAAACTAAGAGAAGTTTCTCCTTGATACTGTCAAAAATGACATAAAATCATTTTCAATTAGCGAAACAATATGTCGTCGGAAAACATAGATACTATGCTGTGTTTACAGATTACTGTAAACTATTATAATCACAATATTTGAATGTACATACATGTTTATAATTAAGATAATATAATATAAGACGGTTTTACAGTCACAATCCTCTTACGATTGTTAATTTAAAATAAAATTATAATAAATAATTTACATATTTTTAAAATAATATTTTAGAAATACACAATTTAAAAATAAGTTAAAAACTAATATTTTTTCAGCACCAAGCTAAAAGTTAGCGTTGTTGGCAATCCTTTGAAATACGTCCTTTATATATAAGTTTATCACATGCTTTATATATAAATTATTTGTTCAATTCCTATTAACAAAGACAGAATAAATATTAATCAACAGTGCACACCTGACAATTTCTAAATTGAATTGATAAACATAAATAGTATTCTTATTTGATTAAATTTGTATAAATACAGAGGAAGGCACTTATTAGTCGACCGACTACTATTACGTCGAATGATTTTTAAGCATCAGATCTTCTTCCAAGACAGATATTACGGAGTTTAAAACATCAGTATCTCGCTGTCTGTGTTTCTCAATGCAACGAAGACTTTTTGGATCTAAATCCGAAATTCCAATGTCACAAAGAAAACTGAGTCCATTTGAAAGTTTTATTACACCTTCATTCGAAGCAGGCGCTACATCCCTGTATAGAAACAATTCATTAATATATACAGAACAGTTAATAGTTAATTACGAAACAATTATATCGTTACATCAATAGTTAAAAATTGTTAATGTTGTTTAATTGCTAAACGGTTACAAAAATGTCTATTCCAATACATACAAGAAATTGACTATTATTATAAAATATACGTTTCGCTCATGAAATTCTGATGTATTTAGATCGTATTTTAAACTTTCTTGCCATCACTACTACATAATAATAGTGTAAGATGTATAGATAATCCATTCAAATGTGAACTTCAGTTATTCATCGAACTTATTGAAATAAAATTTTAGTAAATGTACATCTACAGTCAGTAGTTTCAGAAATTTTTTGCATGATTTCTTATTAAATTGGATACAAGTTTTATTACATTACTGAAACATGAACCATCATAACTTTCATTCAAAGTCATATTTAATGAATTTCTTCTTAATATGTATGTCTTTAATGAAACAAAAATATGCAAGAAGCGAAGCTTCATTTATCTACTAAACGAAGGGTACATTAGATATTTTATAGTACGCGTACAATTGTTAGTGACTGTTCTTAGATATTTATATAAAATATTGCTCATTCGCAAGCTGTTGTGTATATAAACGTCATATTTTCTTACAGACTAACAAACTGAGAAACAATGCATACTCTGAAGCTATTTATTTTCAGACGTATATTTAAAAAAATCCTGTGTTTTTTTCAATAAGCTTCATTTATTCTGAATATTGTAACCTATAAATTAGTTTACCTAATAACCTTTTTTATCGATTTTTAGGGCAATATATATCCTTTTGTCACTCACGTATTTAGTTCACGAAATGCTATGAGTATTGAACAATCCCTGGCACACGAAAACAGAAGATAATTCTGTAAGCATAATATATCTTCAGAGCTTATACAACAATTCGCTTCTGCTTCAGTGCAATATCCGTTGCCTTCGTTCTGTGGTACATCAGATTTACCATACAATAGATCATTATCTCCTAAGTACGTAGGAAGTAAATTTGATTTTCCGGGAACAAGTACACTTTTAATACGGTCGTTGTTGGTAGTTCCTTGAAATTCCGAATTAACATTTCTATGTTCAGTATAACTGTGTCTGTTCGTGGTTCTATTCGGAGTGTGGGTGCCTGTAATACAGGTTCTCCAAGGAGTATCCTTTAACGTTTTCGCACTTTCTGTGATACTTTTCTGTAAAAAGAAAACAGACACAACATAAGAATTAGGATTAGGTAGAGATTCACTTAAAGTATAACAATTTGTCATTCATAATATGTCTATGAAAAAATAATTTTAACGATCTCCAAATATATAATTATTATAATACAAATTTCTATTATTATAACAATCTAATTTATAGAGATTATAATTTAGAAAAATTGAAATAATTAATTTATAGATACAGGATTATAGCAATTTATGAAAAGTGAACAATTTAATAATCTATCCAGGGTTTTATTAATTTTTCAATAAAACAGAAACCTGATTAAATTTCATTGAAGTTTTTATAGTACAATTTTGACTTTTACACAGTTGTGTATGAAACAAATACGTAAAATTCAAAGTCTAATAACGTGATTTATTTACACATATAATAAATAACTCTTTACGGGTAAAAATTTACTCACTGTAGATTTATAGGAGAATTTTCGATGACCCCAAAACGTCTGTGCTTTAATCAAGTTGTTATATACTATATCGTCTTTTAATAACAACCGAAACGTTGAATATATGTTATAAACGTACTCTGTAGTAATAAAGGGCAGCTTTTGCACATGAAGGATCCGCTCTAACACAGAATTATTTGGTAAAGTTTCCCCCTGTAAATTGCATGCCTGGAAAATTATTGGAGAAAGTTTTAACATATGCCTGAAACATTTCAACAACCATTTTTCAACACAATACACAGAGAAATATTCATTGGCTCACAATTAATATTAGTTTCATAATCGTTTAAAATACAAACGACCATAAAGATTTATTTCAGTTCATCAAAAATTGTCGTTCTCAAACATTTCCGCATTTACCACTAAAATTAATCTTCGTAATTTTCATAAAATCCGTAAAAACGCGGATACAATCATTTTTCTTTATTAGCCGATAGGCAACGTATTCAAAAGTATTTTAATTTATTTATAATGTAGTGACACGATTTATTATTAATATTTACCTCACCAGAGAAGTACAGAAGTTTTTTTGCTTTTGCAACAACGTCTGGGTTAATGTACGATATTGGCTCAAAGTCGCGTCGAGCAGGTTCGCTTATTTCGTATGCAGCAGACGGCTTGAATCCTTCTTGAGAAAACGGACACAAAAGAGCGCCGTAGATTAAATCATAAAATTCGTCGGTGTATTCTTCGCTGGTACTCGACGGAGAATTACGAAACCATTCCGCCAAAACACGTTCGAGATCGCTCGAAGACGATTCCTGATTGTAAACAATTACACCGTTCCTGAAAATTTTCAGATTGTTTTGCGGGGATGCCAGGAGTCCTTTTAACGCCGATTTCATTCGTTCCTCCACCCCCGAAAAGAGATCGAACGGACAGTAACTACTTCGGGATGTAATCACCTTCTTCTTCAGCTGAAATTACGGAAAATTATAAATTGTTTATATTAAAATTAATATAATAAAACAATACGGGCGCATATAATAGTTATGCAAAATTTGTTTCGACGCGTATAATTTGTTTTTACTAAAATATACAGCTTAATACGATTACACAAACTCTGGAAGTGTCTTTGATGCTAATTCCAAGATGGCGGCAAGCGCGGCGGTCAATACCATCGGCTTTACGAGTCAAAAACCGCGTAATACTGTTGCATCTCAAACCACAAAATGTTAAACAATTATTTCTTAATTGTTTATTCGTATTATTACCTTGTAATATTGCATCAAACAGTACGAACACTTTTGAAGTTTTCGATCGTCGTCCCTTGAATATCCTTGTTTTGGTTTAATCTCAACGGAAAAGATTTCCTTGCCTCGGAATAACCGCGGATCGTGTTTCGTTCGAAGGAAAGTGTAATCCGGAAATTTCGTGGCGTAGGTCTCTGTAATGTTCTTGTCGCGTCGTTTCTCTGAAAACAGAAACAGTTGGATAGATAGAACATCGAACAAGAATTATTTCTCCATAATACAATGCAGATACAATACAGATCAAAATTTTGATATAAAAATTCACCATTATTCCTTTACATTGAAATCAAATTAGTAATGAAAAATTAATCATTAAATCTTTGACCAGCCAAAATTTGGTGTACTTTCTAACAGGATCAATGTAGTAATCGTTCGTTTTTTTATGGAATTATTCCCGAATTAGAAATTAGCTACTTTGCCCATTAATCCTCAACACAGACAGCAGTCAACTGAACTAAAACTTTATGTTCACGTATTTTTCAAACAAAGTTAATCTACTGGGACTGATATTGACAATTAATAGCCTGACAAACTATTAACAATCAACATCCGGGAAACGATATACATAAACATTCGTGTAAATCTTCAGAACATTGTGTAAACACTGTAAACAAACCATACTGTTTCAATTTATGCACATCCAACCAGTCACCCGTTTATTATTTAAGAACCCACCATTATTTAAAGCGGGGATGACTGCATCACCAGTTAAAGTCAACAGTAAGCATACGTTATCGCAAACTGACGGAGAGCAGATTAAAGTGACATTTACTTCTTGAACGACTTGATATTCCAAGTGTTATAATTTATAAGTTTGACAGTGTCAGTCACTAGAAGCCTTCGCGGTAGTTGACAGAATTAGTAGGCAGCTTTCATTGCGTTTACAGCATATGCAAAGTGTATTTGTCCGACCTTATAAAAAAAGATGACTCATCCGACTATCGCCGATATGAAAAACTAGCTCCTCGTTTATTTTCCCTCATGAGTAGACTTTAATCAACCCCTTGCACTCAACCGACACTTCGTAATAATGCGTTCGGTATGATATTATACAAGAACCCCTTGAAAAGGGTAACGATTAGACTGTGCATTTCACGCATTTATACAAGGGGTGTTTCCAAAGTTCTGGGAATTGCATCCGACTGAATAGAGGCAGGGATAATACATTTCCCTGGCCAAAACATTAAGGCCATCCATAATTTTTCAAATGTTTCGCGGTAATCGTAGAATTAAAAGGGCAGAACGTATTTTAATAATAATTTGTATTAACTACTAAAATTGAAAGTAAGAAAAAATTACTAAATAGGATGTATATGTTTTTAAGGCGTGCATCTGATGGTGATACAAAAAATCCTGTGAAAGTCCTTTTTATGGTTTTTTCAAAGTTATCGTATTTTTTACACACTAACATGTATTTTTTATAACGCGATGTGGTAATCGGCGTCAAGATGAGTTCAACGACCTGTACATCATGACCTTGAAGCGACCTTGAAGGCGAAGAAATCAGCTGTGAAGAATGCAGAAGTAAATAAACGTAATAAAAAGCAAAAATCATTTTATCACCATCAGATGCACACCTTAAAGCCATGTACATCCTATTTAATAATAACTGATCGTCTAAAATTCAATATGGTGAAAAGTTTCAGAGAGTTTATTCGGGTTTTCCTTTTATTTCTACTTAACAAAGCAAATCAATTTTTCTTCACGTTCAGTTTCGTAAAATTAATCTACAAAGTTGTATATTTGCATAAACATCCGCAGTCTAGCGATGATACACGGAAAAGTGAAGAAAAGTTGTGCGATATATTTCTTCGTGGTATACATAATAAATCCCCAATCGATTCAATCAATCATTCAATGGTAGTGTATGAAAAAAAGAGGTGGATCCTCACCCTATGGGTTAATTAGGTGTTAAAACTTTAACGTACACATCGTCGTGTGCGTCTACCTGGGCTGATGTTTACGCATTCTTCGTTCTCGTGCTTGAAAATAAACGTTCGCGGCGGTGGTTCTTGGTCGCGAAAATACCCTGGCTGCCGTGACGCGATCGTTCCCTAAAAATAGGCGGGTCTGGAATACAGCCCTGGAGAACGCATGGAGATGGATAGTGTATGAAAAAGGGACACGCGAGCGCAACAAGTGTAGTCGGCGTCTCCTTTGAACCGTTTTAAATCCTTTTTCTCTGTTGTCACTCACTTGAAAAAGAAGTTTATTTATTTATTTATTTTTTGGTCAAATTTAGTGCAAAATGTAAGGTATGACGGGTACGAACTAAATCCAGAATATTAGCTGCCAATACTTTAGAGTTGTCGCGAAAACTTACTTTACCTATGATAACGTATACGAGGTGTGATAATAAAGTTTCGAGAATAATTCATTCAAAAATTTAATTTTGATAACAGGATCATAACTCTTCTTGCAAAGAGGTTTATAACTCTGAATGGTCAGTGAATGCGAAACAAAGTGTTGCTTGAGCAAAACAGGCGGTGAAAATATCACAGGGTGCATGCTTGGTTGATTCGAGGGTTTTCAGGAAAAATGCTGATTATCCTTCCTTCCAACTTTCTTTCTTGTGTATGATGTAAAGACAATTTTATTTATTAATACATAGTCACCTCTTCAAATTCGTTACCAATCAAATTTTCTGTTAACCCATCTTCTAATAATCGAATTTTCCGGTAATTAATGTTCTGATAATCGAATTTTCTGTTAATCAATGTTCTGACAATCGAATTTTCTGTTAATCCATCTTCTAATAATCGATTATTCCGGTAATTAATGTTCTGATAATTGAACTTTTCGTTAATCAATGTTCTGACAATCGATGTTTCACTGTGTAACACATTGTGCAGGTACATCAGCTCATGTTTTTTTATTCTTCTTAACAGTGTACATTAAACCAACAAAAATCTAATCAATGTTTTAATACTCCATAATTAGTATACCATACAGTATAGAAAAGATTTCGCTCTGCGAATGTTCCCTCAGAATTAACCAGGGTTACCTCTAACTTGGAAGCTCTAAGCATCTCAGACCTATACATACTTCCTATCGTTTGTCTTCCATATAATAACGACTTCCGTTAATTGTTTCGTGATCCACACAAATTCAAATGCAACAGAATTATGAATATCAATTGTACGCCTGTGAACGGGCAAGAATTAACAATATCTTATACATAGTTTTGAATATTATATGCTTCATTTCTTACAATATTAATTAAGTAATAGAAACCATAAAAGAATACTAAAAATTAATGGAAACGTGAAAACCACGAATAATTTATGGTTTTAATTGTTATTCTAATACAATCTGAAGAAAGCTGAACCATTGTGCATGTAATACTAACTATTCTGCAAATTAAAAAACATATACCTTCGAATAATTCTACTACCACTTTGTAGATACTACTCGTATTTTGTCAGTAGATTTCAATGAAGACTGTATCTATCGTAGAAGGGTCGTCGACTGTAATTATTGTGAGTGGTATATGTCTTTGAAAGAAAACAATTTTTAAAATTTAACGATGAATAGCATCATCATTTTATGGAAAAATGCTGTTTTAATTTCAGTTCGGGAAATTTTGGAACAGACCGTGCACGAGGTGCAGAATTGAATTAACGTTGATTCCCACGAAAGTGTCTTTATGATTTCGGTAATTGTGAAGCAAGAATTCTGAAATTCACCATTTTGATGGATTTGGTAGTTCTAGTGGTCGTATAATTCTAGGTCTAATGTATAATATACAGTTTCTAATAAAGTCCAGCAAATGTATTTTTGCGATTTCTGTAATCGTAAAGTAACAATTCTGGAATCAGCCATTTTAACGGATTCGGTAGCTGTATTGTTACAATTCTGCGCCATAAACTTCTGGAATCTATCGTTCATATTTTATCAGTAAATTTTTACTATTTGTTTTTCTCAGTTTAAAGTTAACAAGAATTTTCAACATTACAGATCAAAAGTACATATATAACTGTAAAACAAAAGTAGGAAACTGAATGTACACCAGTCAAAGCCTGATATACTTCATATTACCAAAACAATATTTGTACAGTATGCCCATAATTGGCTTAGCAAGCAGGAAAGTGGTGATTCTGCGTAAAAATACAGTGATTCCTCGATGAATGCGACACGAACAATGGCGTTATTTCCACCACTGGGAAGAGGGGTTCCCTTCTGGAACCAATCAAAACAGAGTAAACAGAAGCTAGGCAGAGTGAAAAAAAAACAAATTTATGAGGGACTGAAAACCTTTCCGCCTTTCCACAAATGCTCTGAAGCGAACCCGAGGTCGTTGCACTCATCCAGACATTACTGTACTTTCGAAATTATTCAGTATATAATTTTGACCGACTACATAGTTTCCCTTTTTTTCAACATACAGTCTATACCTAATTAATTTTAAAAAAATGTTTAATAACCTTTTGTAAAAATCGATTTTCTCGAAAACGAAGCTTTCTATAAAAAAATGTTATTTTTCATTTTCGAATTGGATTACTCATGGAAAATCTTACCCTTCTCGATAGTACTACATTTCGCGGGACACCCTGTATATACAATCGTGCGATCGAAATAACAGAATATAAGCATTATTGCGAGCTTGGTTCGAATCAAAAAGGTAAATGATATTCTACGCAAACAACCACGACACGTCGAGTGGATTATACTCTAGCCTTTGACTCCATGTACCGCTCGGAGAATTGCGACAGCACGAGTTTCTGTAATTTCCAACACACGGGTTACGAAGAAACAATACAAATTACAAACGCCGGACCCGTGATCCTAGTTAAAAGGTCACGAGTCATGAGAAACGAGACTGGTCACGAAACTGCTTCCTCCCCTTCGAATATAAATCTTACGGAATGCACGACATTAACAGTTACAATCTTAAACTGGCCGTGAAATTCATCTATTAAACGTTAATTAATCCGAACAGAGAAGAACGTGTACGAACATCCATTAGTAATTCTTAATTGCATCGTTCCAGAACGCCCTGCTGTATTAAATTGTATTTTGAAAAAAAAGAAAAATAAAATAAACGATGTAAGGGTAAATGTCTCAATTACTGCCAGCGTTCCTAATACTGCCACTCTATTTATTTTACTTAATAAGAGCGTAACTTATAAAGAATTGTGTACGAAAAATTTTATTATTAAAT